ATGTAATTCAATAATTATAATACAATATCTCGATTGATTGCACATTTGAACTTTAAATACAAACAACTGTAAAGACTAACTGTATACACAATAAATTAGATCCATGTATCATACAACTGCCAGCGATCTTTACCATCCTTTACATATTTGTTATATACATATATTTCATTACTTATTACATGTGCACAGCATTTTCCATCACAGATTCACTTATTCCTCGTATCCTTTTCAATGTCTTTGAACTTCGCTTCTAATCGTTTAGAATATGATGCTAATTTATACGCAGCCTGTTCCAGCTTCGTTACACTGTCATCGATTTCATTAATATTATCCAAGATAGGTTGCAACTTTTTATATTTTTCATTCAAAGAGTCCAATGACTGAGCCACGCTGGAAGATATAGTTTTTAATTCGGTGTACTTGGCGATCGTCTCTTTATTTAATCGTTCCAATAAACGATAATCAGCATGAGTGGATGTGAGTTCTTCTTGCAAGTATTCACCGGTTTTCTGAAACATCGTATTGGCTAAACGGCTCAGATTTGGATCGTGAGGATCCAATGCTTCGAAACTACTCGTACTGGTTGACAGTGTAGTTCCACGTTTCGGTGAATCGCATCTTGAGTTGCGATCCGCTGTGTTATCCACGAGAGGAGGCTCCATTTGTGAGCTTTCTTTTAACAGATCTTGAACCGATGTCATGTCGGTTCAAATGTTTTATGTTTTAAAGGAAATTACCGTAAACTTCACTTGCAATAACAAACAAAATACTTTTTCCAGCGCCACTGTAAATGTCAGCGACGCCATGGACCAACAAATAATATAACCACCTGGTGGTGATAGGTTGGAATTAAAATGAACCTACTTTAATTCTTTAAAGTAACCAATCGAAGTGAGTGCTACTTCTTATACCGCGATATTCAGTTTAATGAAATTTAAAGGAACACTAAACAATCTTTGTGCATATGCCTTCTATTTTTGGATACATCATTCATACAATGAGGCTCTTAATTTACTCTAGATCACATTACTTAATACATTTGGTATTTATTGCACGTTTTATTAACACACAATTTACAGTAGGTAAATTTTTATTTTGTACTTATTGGTAATTTAATATCGTTGTCGAAAGCGGATTTATGCGTTTTTTGTAGGCACATTCATTAATATGGCACGATAATGTAATGTAGTTTGTCGTTCTGTATAAAACTCCAATGGGTTTCGATTATTATATCAGTATTATATTATAGATATTTAATTAAAATGATTTCGAAAATAAGAATTGCTTAATATTAGATAAACATACATTTACATTGAGCTTTGGTCTAAACTTTGGTAACCAGATACCACCATGGCTTATATATAAATAATTAAAAATGTATCATTGAAGATCGTTAAACTATTAAACAATATTTATCTGATAAATGCATCAACAATTATAACTAAGACTTATAACCGTTTGGATTGTTTTGTTGCCATTTCCACGTGTCTGCACCTAAAATTAATTGTACATTTAATAAAAATTCTTTCAATAATTACTTAAGCATATGATAACATACACATATCGTCAATATTCTTCGTGGCTTGCCATCCTAACTCTTTGTTAGCTGTTCCAGCATCTGCATAACTAGCAGCTATATCTCCTGCTCTGCGCTCGACGACTTTATACGGTATTTTTTGACCCGACGCCTTTTCAAACGCATGGATCACTTCAAGCACTGAATAACCCTTCCCAGTACCTAAATTGATAGCTTTAAATCCAGTTGGATTTTGAGTTTTCTGATAAATCATTGCTTTCACATGACCTGTTGCTAAATCTACAATGTGAATGTAGTCGCGAACACCTACAAATTAAATTACAATTGGTTATACACTGCAAGTATTTTGTAAATTCAGTGAACTTGTATTACTACTTCAATTAACCTGTTCCATCCACAGTATCATAATCATTGCCATAAACATTTAGTACTTCTCTTTTGCCAACGGATACTTGAGCAATGTATGGCATTAGATTGTTTGGGATTCCATTAGGATCCTCTCCAATTTGTCCAGAAGGATGAGCTCCAACAGGATTGAAATATCTCAAAGATATGACAGACCATTCCTAGACATATATTTATGATAATATTTAGTTAAACTGAGAATTCAAGATATAAAGAAACATTATACCTTATCTGATGTACACAAGTCTTTTAAAATTTCTTCAACCATGTACTTTGTCTTTCCATATGGATTTGTACAATTGCCAATTTTCATATTTTCAACTAGGGGAAGTTTTTCAGGAACCCCATAAACAGTAGCACTGCTCGAATAAATTAAATGCTTTACATTGTATTCTTTCATTACTTCCAACAAATTCAATGTCCCATTGACATTTGTTTTATAATATTCTAATGGTTTATCACAGGATTCACCCACAGCTTTTAAAGCAGCAAAATGTATAACACAATCATATTTATTCTAAAATACAAAGAATAATTGCAATATTGCTTGCATACTTGAATCTTGTATCAAACTTAATTATACCTTTTTAAACACATCTCTCAACTCATTGATATCTGTAATATCACAAGGGATAAATGCAATTTGTTTGTTTGTCAATTTTTCTATTCTTAATAGACATTCTGGCTTCACATCATTGTCTCCTAGTGATTCAAACAAATTTGTTATAACATAAATTCAATTTAATAAAGAGAAATGTAAATATACTTATTATATCTAAACAAGCATCATACGTGTTAATACAACTCTACTGTGTTATAGTATAATATTATTGAAAATTTCTTCCACTTTGATACTTCTCACCTTTGTAAGCATTACTAAGGTTGTCTATTACCACCACCTTAAAATCTGCCTCTAATAGTTCCAAAACAGTGTGAGAACCAATATAACCAGCACCTCCCGTTACCAGCACATTCCAGGTTTTATTTGCCATTGTTTTTTTTGTGCTGATGTTAATATAATATTAAACAATTATTCTACTTTTAATTAATAGACTTACATTGTGCTTCATATTAGGATACAACATGTCCAACCATGTGCAACAGGTTTTAGTATAATAATATTTATTTACATAAACAAATCAAACAATGTGTATAATAATTAAATACAAAACACGTAAAAACCTCAGAAATATTTACAAAGAAAAAAAAAGAAATGTTTTACCTTCTTTGACACGTAGGCAATTAACCAAACTCCGGGTTAGCGGGAAGCGTACCACTTCTATCGCAATCTACGAGAGGCAGAAAAAATTGTAATTTGTGATAAAGTTATGTAATTCTGACACGTCATTATGGATTTGACGTAAATTTACTACCTGGAATTACGATGAAACAGTAATGGAATGGAAAATTCGTTGATTCACATTTCTTGATTCATTTTCTGATAACAATTTTTCTAAACTAATTACCTAAAGGTATCTAGATTAAAATTTTGATAAACAGTGCCACATAACATTGTAAATAATGACGAACACCTATCTCTTTGTTCTCCAATTCATATTGGACATTAACAAACACACATTACATCCCATTGTAATAATAATACTCCACACTGTCTAGAATTTTAGCCACGGACTTAAGCTTCATACAGACATTGCATGTATTGTAACTTTCTAACAACTGTTCTGAAGTATCGGCATTATCAAAAGTGCACTCAACGTTATCGATAACACTTCATCAAAATTTAACAATCTGATTTAAATGTAGCCAGTGTGTCCTCACTGGCAAATTCCACTTATAGATAAAATAAATTTGTCAAAAATATAGTTTACTATCACATTTTAAAATTCCTTTGTTAATATCCCTGCTATTCTTTTCATAAATAGTTAGTTAAAACCAAGCCGTCATAGAAGCTAGTCGATAAAAATTATTGAATATAATAATTTAGTGAATATTTTAAATAAATATATTGAATTAACACACCACAGAGAATTGACTGTGGCGCCATCCGTGGGAAAATGCTCAAACTGGTAGCCAATTGTTACCGATCTGGAAATTCACGAGGATCGACTGTGGCGCCACCCGTGGAAAATCGGTGAAACTGGTAGCCAAATGTTACCGATCTGGAAATATAGAAGGATCGACTGTGGCGCCATCCGTGGAAAATCGGTGAAACTGGTAGCCAAATGTTACCGATCTGGAAATATAGAAGGATCGACTGTGGCGCCATCCGTGGAAAATCGGTGAAACTGGTAGCCA